GCTTTGACTGTTCAGCCAGGTCAACCTCTGACCATCAGCTGTCAGGTTTCTTATTCTTTGAGCACCATGACACACTGGATCAGACAACCTGCAGGAAAAGGCCAGGAGTGGATTGGTTACATGTGCTCTGGATGCACAGGAGCTCGCAAAGATTCTTTAAAGAACAAGTTCACTATTACAGTACAAGCGTCCAGTAAAACAGTGACTCTGAATGGACAGAATCTGCAGCCTGAAGACTCTGCTGTGTATTACTGTGCCAGAGACTCACAGTAACACAAACAAGCAGAAGAGCTGTACAAAAACCTCTGAGGACCTGAACACATACATTGCAAGAGTACCAGAGGAGGCGCTGTAAAACCACTAATGACTCCATTGCACATTCTCTGTCAAAGTCCATGATAATTATTATGGAAAAGTTTTAATTTCACTAGTTTTATTTTGTTCTCCAATCCATCATAAAATTCTTAGCACACTATAAAATCAAAGACTTATGTTTGTGATTCACTGTTTCAAAACCTGTAAAACAGCAGCTCAGCAGAAAAAAAACAGCTTTTGTGTCAAATTGATTTGTATGATTTATAATAGTTCAGTTTATGGGGACCCTCACTCTTTGCTAGTGAAATACGAACTAAAATCTCCACCACTAAAGACAAAATAGCATCACTCAGAGCTGCATAGAGTTCAAAATGGCATTTAAAGTAGATCAGCAAGGTTATAAAGTAATGCAAGAGCCATTTGTGACTGGTTAATCTGTCATTATGCAAATTCAACATTCTAGTTTAAGTACTTCCTCTCATCCTGTCAGGCACAGAGGAACAGAAGATTTCATCGGATCATCTTTCATACCAACATGTTCTCTTTAGCTTTACTGCTGCTGGTGGCTGCTGGATCCTGTAAGACTCACATTGCAATTACACCACACTCAGTTTATTTAATTAATATTCAAATAATTTATATTACAGTTTATTTAATTTGATGTTGTCATTAACAGGTGTGAAGTGTGAACAGCTGACACAACCAGCCTCTTTGACTGTGCAGTCAGGTCAGACTCTGACCATCAGCTGTCAGGTCTCTTATTCTCTAACCAGCTATCACACAAGCTGGATCCGACAACCTGCAGGAAAAGCTCTGGAATGGATGGGTGTTATTTGGGCTAATGGAAATAACGCTTATGCCAGCAATGTCCAAGGACGTATAACAATCACCAGAGACACCAGTAAGAAGATTGTGAATCTGAGTCTGTCTGCTATGAAACCAGAGGAGTCTGCTGTGTATTACTGTGCCAGAGAGTCACAGTGACACAAACAAGCAGAGGAACCGTACAAAAACCTCTCAGAGCCTGAACACATAGATTATAGAACCACCAGAGGAGGCGCTGTAAAACCGCTAATGAATTCTTGCAAATTCTCTGTCAAAAGTCCTTGGGATTTACCCCCTCCCTAACAGGTGCTGTTTTTTGTGTACTTTATATATTCTAATTTATTTGGGTAAATGTATTGTGAAGTAACTTGATTTGTTTGCTTGTTTTAATCATCTTCTCATCTCTTTGAGGTCACCTGGTCATGTGTTGCCATGGAAGCTCACCCATGAGCAGTGCTGACAAGGACCTGGTGTTTCCAATCAGCCTCATTGGGAAAATCCATTTTCTGAGAGGGAGGAGAGATGTATATTGGATTTTGTTTGGGCCTAGATAGTTTTTTGTTTCTAGTTTTGTTTGGGTTAATTGCAATTGTGTAGACATTTTTTTAGGAATATAGTTTAGTACAAATGTTTGTTCTTTCTTTCTGGAAATGTGAATGTCTCCACCCCTCTAATCTTTGTGGAAGCCAATCCTTTAAAAGCCAGGTGGTCCAGATGAGAGGGAGATTCTCCCTCTTCTTGTTGTGACTGATATGCTATGCTGTGAACTGAATTGAAACTGAAGATAAAAGAAAAATATTGAGAGCTCTAAAACTGCTGGCTCCAGTCTGGTTTTTCTTTGGTCGCAAACTAACAGTAATCATTATGGATTTTATATTTTTTTATTTCACTCAATAAAAGCAGAGATTTTTAGGCTTATGCAGAGCAAATTGCTGAGAATGTACGACCAAATAAACAACTAAATAAATGTCAGTTGTATCAAAAGCATGGAATATCAGTTCATTTAACACAAATCAATTTAAATCAATAAAAAGGAAGACACACATGTTACTATTTTTAGAATATTCAAATACACATTTAACCCTTTAATTTTAATTCAGGTGTAAATGCAATATCCAAGTCCCCGCAGTTTGCTTTAATGTCCATTATTATTTTAATGTTTATTCTGCTAAACTGTTTTGATGGTCGAGAATAGTTTGTACCATCTCTTAAAAAACAAGATGTTTCCTTTTCATTTTATTGTTCTCCAATTCGTCATAAACTTCTCAGCACACTATATATAAAAAAGACGGCTGTTTGTGATTTACTTTTTTAGAACCTTCTATGCAGTAGCAAGTAAGCAGAAAGAAAAACAACTTTCATATAGATTTGATTTGTATTGCAGTTATATTTAGGTTTTCTTGAAATAGTTGATTTTATGGGGACCATCACACTATGCTTGTGAAATACTAACTCAGATTACCACAATTAAATACAAAATATCATCACTCAGAGCTGCAGCCTGTTCAAAACATCATATGCAGTAGATCAGTGAGATTATGAAATACAGTAAGAGCCTTTTATGACTGGTTGGCCTGTCATTATGCAAATTCAACATTCTAGTTTAAGTACTTCCTCTCATCCTGTCAGAGGAACAGAAGATTTCATTGGATCATCTTTCATACCAACATGTTCTCTTTAGCTTTACTGTTGCTGCTGTGTGCTGGGTCATGTAAGTTTTATTGAGACACATTACAATTACACCACACTCCTATCAATTTTACTGTTTATTTAATTTATGTTGTCGTCAACAGGTGTGAAGTGTGAACAGCTGACACAACCAACCTCTTTGACTGTGCAGTCAGGTCAGACTCTGAGCATCAGCTGCCAGGTTTCTTATGATCTGAGCAGGTATCACACAAACTGGATCCGACAACCTGCAGGAAAAGCTCTGGAATGGATGGGTGTTATTTGGACTGATGGAAGTAATGATTATGCCAGCAATGTCCGAGGACGTATAGAAATCACCAGAGACACCAATAAGAAGATTGTGTATCTGAGTCTGTCTGCTATGAAACCAGAGGAGTCTGCTGTGTATTACTGTGCCAGAGACCCACAG